CACACACACACACACACACACACACACTAGTGTTGTTTCCTTAAGACTGGAAGGATTCCAAGTCTTAGCAGGTAGCTTCCATCTTCCCCTTCAAAGCCAGCAAATAAAAGAACAAAAGGAAGAATATGCCCATGCTAGGTGAAGAGAAACTGGAAGAGAACTGTAAAATCTGTGTTTGTTTTGTATCTCAAAAGCATTTTGGAGGTTTCATTCGTATTTCTTAAAGAGAGAACTAAAGCTTAGAAAGGTTTTTCAAATATTTCTTGTCACACAGCTATTATCTGGTCTGGAATGAAAACCCACTTGTCTTTCAGTGGGATTCAAAGCACTCCCTTTTGTTATTGAATTTAAAAAATACTTCCATGGAATTTCTCATATGAAAATCTAGAGGAAAAAAATAAAAATTGATAACTGATTTCTGAATAGACTCAAGATGAGAATTTTACTCGTGTGTGCCTACACAAATGTGAAATTACCCCCTTTACCTAATTCCTTAAGTACAGATGTGCATGTTCTTAGAGGTATGATAGCAAATGATGTCAGAAAGAAATTATGTCCTATTTGAGAAAGCACCAGTAATGCTCATAGTGATAGTTGTTACTTGGCTTAGTCTAATTAAGACTCATAGAGTAAGGCCAGTATCAATCTTATTTCTGGCTATATTTGTTGGACTATGATTTCTCTTTGTTCTAACTACTAGGTTAAAATGATTAATGAGAAGAGCAATGAAAAGATGCAAATCACGAAACATCTGGTTTTATAATTGGTAGTTTTGGTGGTCAGTTGAATGGTATGATGTGCTATGGGTTGAAAATGTGGCCCTGGATGCTAAAAGTACAAAAGTAGTAGAACTTTTATGTTGGGCTCTGTGTGAAACATTATGGGCTTCTATTATTCAGGAGAATTTTCCATAGGACCACCCGAGTTCCCTTTTAGGGGGCAATATTGCATTGTATGGTATGGAACTACAGTAGTACATGATATTTGAATGTTTCCCCTAAGCCACCCTAAGTATGTATTTGTATTTTCAATAGCATGATGTAACTGAAACCCTCTGACTACATGGCTTTCTGTTCTTCTCTTGCAGGGCTCTTCTGCAGAACTATCCTGTGGAATGATACTTCCATAATGAGTCAACAAGGTTATGTGGCCACACCCCCCTATTCTCAGTCCCAGCCTGGAATGGGCCTTTCTCCCCCTCATTATGGACACTATGGAGATCCTTCTCACGCACCATCTCCACCAGGTAAAGTATGGCATTTTGACCCGAGTGTGATAGTGCAGGTCTCAGCCCAGATGCATGAGATGTTCTGAAAAGAGGGACTATGAAAGGTCAGGTGGTGGTTATATGATACCATGCCTTGAGATGATGGGATTTGTTTGAAATGGCTTTCAAAGTAGAACTCAACAACACTAGTTGGCTTATTGAGTGGAGTATAAGTTTGGGTTTTAAATGTGGAATAAAGAAGAA